TTTTTTTTTTTAATGTCCAGAGGACCAGATTGAACTTTTTTTGGATAGATAACGTATAGGTTAATTCAGCAAAATATATTTAAGTTGTGTCACTTTTGTAGTTTTGTGTATTTTGAGTTCAGGGAGTCTGTCAGAGAAAATTATCTAGAGAAGAGGAAAACGTTCCCTAACTCAGAGTCGACATAATCTCTGATATACTTTCATAGACTCTTTGGTATAACTCAGATTTTTTTTTTTGGTTTATTTTCAGAAGCTGTTGCACCCCCAATTGACTCATTGACTAGAAAACAGTGAAAATCAGAAATTCGACTCTTCACGTTAACGTTCCTGTTTAATACCAAACCCACCTTAACGTTTTCTTCTGATTGATGGAGGAACGTTAACGTGAAGAGTCGAATTTCCCCCTGCTATTTAAGAGCTGCAGCAGCTCTTTGCACCTGCCCTTAGGTAAAGAAAGATCAGAGTTCACTTATGTTCCAACTTCTTCAGATTGCTACAATGAAGGCGCCTGAGTTTGAAGACTGGAAGCGTCGGTGTTGCTCTCCCTCTGGATTACATTCAGGTCTTTTCCTTCAAGCTAACGTGTGACAGCTCCATCCTTTTAAAAGAGAATAATGTCTCTTTGTTTTGTTTTCACTCATCATAAAAATGTTGCAACCTGCTTCCTTGGGGCTGTGAAAGCAGCAGAGTCGCTGGCATACTGATTACTGCCACGCAGTAAATTGGAAGTGATAAATGTGATTTTGGAAAAAAAAAAAAGGTGTTAACGTTTTTAATGCTAACACCAAGACAGCTCAAAAGTTGAGTACAGAAAATGTGAAAGTGCAACATAGAGGGAACATTTCATCAGATATACTTGGTTGGAGAATGATTTTTGTTTTAAGAGGATTTAAAACATTAATGCTTTTGTGAGCCATCAAATGTGTACCAGGGGGAAGAGTCCCCATTGGTTTTTGGTTACCTTGCTCCCAGCTGTTTACCCCTCACTGATCCCACATCTGTAGTCCTGATAATGCTGAATGGGGCGAATAGTGCTAGTTCCGTATTTTTCGGACTATAAGTCGCATTGGATTATAAGGCGCAATATCAATGAATGGATCTGTTTTAATACATAATGTGCACGGGATTATAAGGCGCATTAAATGAAACAAAACAGTCAGATAAGTCAAACTTTATTCAACTTATTCACAATAATCACATAAAATTAGTTGGAGGTCAGTAAGCACAACTAGAATTAACACAAGGCGCACCTGCTTAAAAGGCTCGCTGTCGGTTTTTGAGAAAATTAAAGGATTTTAAGTGTGCCTTATAGTCTGAAAAATGCAGTATTTAAAGACCATTCTATCAATTCATCACTTATAGTTTGTTCAGTCTCTGAACTCATTCCACTGGGATCACTTTGAGTGCATATTCTTAATTAATGTGTAATATTTTTCATAAAATAATAATAAAAAACATCAAGAAGAAAACAAGTAAGACATCTATACACATTAGTGCAGTCAGGCTACATATACCCAGAATCTATAGCATTTTTTAATGATGTCTTCAAAATCACCCCAAACTTTTTTTTTTTTTTTTGTCCTCCAAGAAATCAATTCCCTTGAAACCCCACATTCTTCCTTCAATCATTTTCACTGTGATTCAGTAATTGCCTTCACAATTTTATTACTTTTAATTTCAGTCCCGTTTATCTCGAGCGTACCGCTGGAATATTGCTTCCACTGGTGTTGAACTGATGAAATAGTAAGGATTGAATTACCGTGGAGATTTCACGGGGAGATGAGCAGTTACACTCGCATAATCTTGAAGGCGTTTGTTCCCGGGTTCCCGTAGTTGTGTGCAGCTGTTGCATGGCACATTTCATTTATGTTGACTCTGAAATTGCTCTGGAACATCTCAGCAGAAGTGATGGCTTCATTACGTTTCATCTAGTTTCTTTAAGGCCACTTTAGAGTGGCCTTTCCTCTCCATTTAGTTTTCCCTCGGCACCTTTTAACACAAGTTTCCCAACACTTAATTAAACCGAGGTGAGTATTGAACAAACAATCATGAGTAGTGCGTGCAAAAGATCATTATACCCCTAGATCTCCTACAAGAAGCAGAACTGATTCAAATAAAACCAGATCTACTGGTGGAAGTCACATGTATGATTGTTTATGCTGGTAAGGGCTCATTCTACAGAAGCCGAGTTATGGTCTTAAGTTTTCCCTATAGTTTTACCTTCTCCCATCTTCAATAAGCACTTTATGTTCATTATAGTGCCTTGTTATAACCCAGTGAAATCACAACTCAGCTAGAGAATTTAATTAATACATCTCAAACATTGTCTTCTCAGAAAAACCTGCTATTATCAGAATTCATACCATTTACTCAAAATCAGAGTTGAGTTGTTTTGTGGGTTCCAGTCACCACAACCCACTCCTTGTTCTTATTTTTATTTTGTATTTTTCCCATAACAAAACAATTGATGTCAATTTTAAATGTAGGCTATAGTGTGACATTAAGCTGAAGCTTTTATCTTTTTCCCATTAGTGCTTTTATTTCAATCATTATCATCCAGAACATGTGTTTGTTTTAATTGTTTAAAAATAGTCTTTTTTTAACAGAAAAATATCCAAACCACTGTAAAAAAAAACTATAATGAAGTAACTGTTAAGGTATCGATGGTTCATGTTGACTTGCCTGTTAGAAAAGATATGAATTGGACACTATAGCTATCCGCAAACGTAACTTTAGAAAGATTTAGAGTTCTCACATGGCTGTAACTGAATATGTCCTTTTATTCTCAACCCATCTTTATTTTTGGCTCAGATTTTCGGTTTTGAAGGGAAGTGCAGCGGAGATCAGTGAGTTGTGGATGGAGCCGAGCTGTAACAGTTAGAACTGAGTCTTCCTTGATAGCAGCTGGCTACTTTCTCTCTCTCTCTCTCTAGTTCTTTTTGAATATTTGAAAATATTCTGATCATTCTGGTTCATTTTCGTTATCAGCCCCGCACAGCTCATCCTCCTCTCTCGCTCACCATCTCTTCCATAATAGAACGTAGCACACAGCTCTGGTTCTTTGAGTTCACCGAGTTTCCTCTCAGTCAGGGACAAGACCTAAAGCCCCCCCCCCCCCCCCTTCCCACACTTCAACTGCACTCTCACTTTTCAGCACAGGCCACACAACACTTGTACCTAAAACGCAAGCACTCCATCAGTTCAAAAATAAAAAAAAATAATAAAAAAAAAACTACATAAAAAGTACGTCTTCACTCTTCTGCTCATTTCCGCACATCCACTGGACTAATAAAGAGGGAAAGGGATAAGCTACCAAGAAGAGGATATTTTTATTTAAGGAACAGCAAGGATGCAATTTGTCAAAATAATAAAATAATAATAATAAAAAATGCTGAATGTACAGTATTTAATTTTACTGAGTCCACCGGATGTTATCTATACTTTGTTCAGTCTGTATAATCCTTTGATTACGTCTCCGTTTGTACGCTTTAACTCCCAAAATGTTAGTTGGCTGAAGATAGGATAACTGATTTATTTAATATATTGTAGAGAAACATGCTCTTTTTGTAGCAAATCCTTTTTTTTTTTTTACTCTTTTTTTTTTTTTTTTCACCCAGTGTTTCAAAATAGTTTTAGTATTCATGTGGGACTAAACTCTTAACACCTAAGTGGGATCAACATGGCTCCTAAACACCTCAACAAAACAAGACAACAGCAAAAGGCAAAGAATCTGTTTCTTGCTGCACTCCAAAAGTTTGTTGTAAAGAACTGGACAAACATGAAATTATCAGAGCGACCACAGAGGGGAAAAAAATTGTCTCTAAGAGAATATGATAACAAAAAAAAAAGTTTTTGTACAGAGATATATTTTTATGAAAATACATTTGTAATATAAAAAGAGAAAAAGGATTGACATATATGTAAATGATTTTCTTTTT